TTTCTGTTCTTCCCAGTAAGTCAATTTCGATCTTCAAACTGTGCCTTGTTTTTTAAAAGATATGATGCTAGAAATTCAATAGGGTTTGGTGGTCTGTAAGGGAAAAGAAATCCAAAGTTTAGAAATGTATATCCTAGATGTGTTCATTTAAACATACTGATATAATTCAAACGTGTCTTTTAAAATCTTAAAGGTTTCATTTTATAGTCATAAGGTCATTGGTAGCAAATATGGTATATGAAATAAACAAGCCAGTTGGACAGCAATATACTTTAAAAAAACGGAAATTTCTGTTCGACTTAATCCTAGTTCTACAGTAAATTCTCTATCATGAGTTTTAAAAATGTACTGAAAATGGGATGATGATTATTCGGGGGGAATAACCTGAAGGGTTACTCACACAGGCGGGTCCTGGGGTAATGGTAATGTTTGGTTTCTAAGTCTGGATATGGGGTTATATGGGTGTTTGTGTTGTGAATACTCATCAAGCTACACACTTAGGATTTGTATAATTATCTGTATACATGTTATTGTTCAACATAGAGGACAATGGCTGGAGCATCACTAAGACATATAGATGAGCTTCCCAGGCAATTAATAGAGGGAAGGAACAGTCATTTGAACAAGTTCTGGTAAGTTCTGGTTTTAAAGGTCACTTATCTTTTTCAAATAGTTTAGATCAACAATAATTATAATGATGCCACCACATGGTACAACTGAGAAGTTAAACATATTTATAGAATTAAGAGGTATTATTTCATTTGTATCAATTTTATATATATTATTATTGCTGAAGAAACAAGTTCAAAAAAAGTTGGAGGAAAAAATCTATGGCAGACTCTACTATGAAAAGATACATTGATGGAGAGCAAATATTTTGAGATATTTCCTTGCAACTTCAAATAATGCTTTTGGTTGTCTAAACTAGACACTTTTCAAATAACATGTAAGGTTAACTTCCCAGATTTTTACTTTAAAAACTACAATTAACTAATAGCATGTTACCAAAAAAAAATTTTTTTTTCTTTCAGCATTTAAAATGCTATTTCCTATTTCTAATATAGTTTAACAGAGGGACCCTATAGGACCGGTTTCAAAGTAGGTTATGTGTTGGGCTGCTAACTGCAAGGTCAGTGGTTTGAAGCCAACAGCTGCCCCACAAAGAAAGATGAGGCTTTCCACTCTCATAAAGAGAACACACTTGGAAAACGCAGAGGGGAAGTTCTATTTGGTTCTGCAGAGTGGCGGTGGGTCAGAACGGACTGAATGGCAGCAAGTACTGTAATAGTCTTCTGTAAAGAAAGAACACAAATAGAACCATGAAGATGAAAGATGCCAATATTTGAGCTGCCAGTGGTACCCCAAAATATATCTTGTAGACATAAAGAAATCCAATTCTTTTTCTATATCAAATATTTATTGATATGTTTACATAATCAAATTAACAGACCTAAATCAATAACACACATTTTTCATCTATAAGTTCTCTTTCAATTTGTCAGTTTGGCACATATTCATTATCATCTTTGGAATAAAACGATATGTACCCAATAAATATTAACTAACCAAATTTACGAAAAAGTTTCTTGCTGGAGTTACCTACAAAAAGAACTTAGATGACAATTACCAAGGAAAAGCATTTGGAGAAAATTAAAAGAACTATAATCTTGCTAATAAAGCATGTATATTAAAACAATTCAGCAGAATGATTTTTAAAACTCAATGCCATGGAGGCTAAGTTAACATTGGGAGAATTTTTTTCCCCCCACCCCCGTTCGGGAGAATTTTAAAGACACACTTTTAGACACAAAAATGACTATGTTTCAAACACCAGAAAAACTGTCCTTTAAACTAGTAAAGAATTGATCACACACAGACAAAAAAACAATTTATCATAAAAAAGTAATTCAATACCACCAAAGTTAGAGAGAGGAAAATAACTGCCCGGTGACCAACATTAATAAAAAAATCTGACTTAAATGCTCAACAATTTAAAAAATGGTACTATTAGTTGAATTTTAATCACAAAGACAACAGGAATAAAAATTATTGTTGAGCAGAGAGATACAAAACGGTATGTACGCCAGGATTATAAATCTTTACAAATATACTTATGATTTTAAGACGAGTAGACAAATATAATAATCGTAACTGAGTTGTGAGATTCCAGCCAATTTCATTTGGAAAAAATTAATTTCCATAGATTTACACAAAAATCAATGTACAGAACTATTGATGTTTAAAGTTATGTTGCTTGCTGTGCTCACTCCATTTGCAGATACTACCTGCCATCTTACCTCTCCTTTGCGAGCACAGCAAGTCCCTGCAGTAAGATGGGCACCACTGTCTGATCCAGGTAGGCACGGGTTGGCAAAGACTGGAGATCCACCTTCTGTTTGGATGACTTCTCTGCATTCATCTTCTCATTTTCCACTATCCTCTATTGAATTAAAAATCAATGCGTGAATCATCCAAGTAACTAGATTATTTGGAGTACTAAATAAAAGCTAATGAAAACATGCCACTAACAAAGAAGGCAAATCAATGCACTAGAAAGCTGGTAGTGGAGTGTAAATCTCTGTGCCAAGAGAACAAGTTCAGACCCTGCAGAGCAGTGAATTCTTGGCGATGGCCCTTCTCACCAGTGTTTGTAACTACCAATAAATGACCTTCCCCATTAGTCTGGGTTGGGGGAAGGGCCGTGGCAGGAGAGATGTTTATGGATCATATGGTTTGTTTTGTTTTTTTAATCATTTTATTGGGGGCTCTTTCAGTTTGTGATAGGTAAGTTTATTGTGCCAACCTGGCCATTAAGAACATGGATTAATAAGGTCGCAGTTTGATTAGAGGGCAGCGATAAAAGGCTCGGCAAACCCC